CCCCCCCCCCCCCCCCCCCCCCCCGCGAATACGAAAAAAATAACGTTAAACGAAACTTTAACTGCAAACGGCCTAAACATGAGTTTAATTGACGTACGTAAGTTACATACTAATCAGTATAATTTTAAAACTACGTATGTTACATTTTAATCGGTATAAATTTTAAACTCAGGTACGTTAATTTTGAATTACAACAGCAATAGCAATAAATTTTTACATACAGTAATAAATATAAATTTTCTAACACTGTTTTATTCAATTTTCAATTTCTTATACTTTCATGTTAAAGATTCGCGATGTAAAATTATTAAATAAATACGTGGGAAAAGTTATAGACGAATATATAGCTCAATTGGAATAAGATAATATCTAATAATAAATAATCGCATAACAGTAATTAAATATGGCATGTAAAATATAAATATTTTTACTTTGTCACGATTAGGAGTTAAACTTAGCATTTACATTTCGAATCTTTTATTAAATTTTAAAGCATAAAAGGGGTGCGCGTTATTTCGGGACGCGCATGGGCGCTATTTTGAGCAAATAGCCAAATTTTTTAAATGTCAAAAACAAAATTAACGCCCAGGTGTGTAAATACGGTAATAAATTTCAAATTATTTAATTTCATCGAATTACACATTTAATTTCATCGAATTGTGTATTTAATTTCATTGAACTACGCATTTAATTTCAATATCATATTAATTTTGCAAGAATTACACATTTAATTTATTTTTAATTTCGAATTATATAAACGTCGAAAGAAAGGCATTTAACAAATAAATATAAATATTGATTAAAATCATATATCAATATTAATGATTAAAATGCATATATAAACACTGATATATTAAATATAAACATTAACGATAAGCAACAGGTCTCGTCGCATTGCTTTTTCAGTTTCAGCACCGCAAGTCCGACACGTTTTTATTATATGATTAATCTATTTATTTAATTAACTACCGGTATATTGTTAATGTTCTCTAAACAAATCTAAATTGATGCGAACAAAATGAAATTAGTAAATATCCGTAAATAGCTTATCGGACAATACACATCTAAATTAACCCGGATAAAAAATTTATATAGTAAAAATTCATGAACTTTGAATTACTGTACCTAATTTAAATATCAACTAAAAAATATAATTTTCACTTTCAGATCCGAGCTCATTCTTACCGAGTTCATTTTCATCAATTTCCAAATTAAGTGAATAATTTTTGTAAAGCACATCTGTTAAGACTTTTCCACTAGTTCATCTTATCAAAGATCCCAAGAAATCAGAGGCGTTCTTGCGAAGTGCATCGTTAATGTTTTTTCGCCTTTCGATCCAATATTATTTTATCCACTCGATAAATTATTTTTTAAAATTAAATCAAATCTATCATTTTAAATAATAATAATTTAATATAATATATTAATTATTTATAAAATTATACAGTAAAATCATCTATCCGCATTGTACCAATAAAATTCGACTGAATATAAAATTCCAACAATTTCATTATCAATATTATATTTGATTAGATTAAAGTAAATCTTGTGGGATAGATTTATCTATGAAATTTTTGCTTTACCATAGATACCTATAAAAAAGCTTACATGCTTTCGGCTCCTTCTTTTCTGAGGATTGTGGAAAACGAATTCGAGATGCTATATTGGTATTTCATCCTTAAATAAATTCATTAAATAAATGAATGAATGATCGAACATTATCGCATAGTTACTTTTCTGAAGTGTACACAAAATTCGTCCCTACCAGATAAACAAGGTTTTCCAAAATAAATTCTTCTTCCCCTTGGAATTATATAACATTCAATGTATCTGTTTTTGCATTCCTAAGTAAGGAGATGGGTTTGCTTTCAATAGTTATTTTTTACGATTAATTATATCAGATAATACATGATAAATAAAATCTGAAACCACATCTTCGCCACCATCTGTTAAACGAAATATGTTTCCTACCTTTGTACGTGAAAAGTTTACCGTCCATAATTTCAATTTTTTTTTTTTAGTTTTGGTTTGTTTTTTTTTTATTTTGCTTTTTTTTTTTATATAGCTAAGTAAGGTCGTTTCACGCACACTTCTGCCGGTTGACCACCATCTGTTAAATCAGCCGGCAAGCGATACGAAGAAGAGGTCACAGTCCATATGACAAATGTTGGTCTCCTCTTCGCACTTCCAGTACGTCTGCTGCCCATATGACCCACGAACGTATGGGAAATCGTAGAAAACGTATGTGGATACTCGACACTTATGCTATTGTCTCATTTCAAAATAAATAAATATATATATATAATTAGTTCATATTTAATGTTAATCAATATATTTGCTTTGAACTTTTATTTATGACGCGCCTAAACAAAAGATCGTGTAAAACTAACGCACATTACCCTTTCTTTGTTTTTTATCACCTAAAGTCCCGGAATTTGTAGGTTGATATTTCGTAATCATTTGCTCACATATATATTTTTGTAAGTTGTTGGATTCGTTAAAATACGGCACGCAAACCTCAAGCTTGATTAGAAGGCGGCAAGCCTCGTGAAAAAGTGCTATACCAGGAACGTAGTACGAAGTACGAAGTGTATGGTTAACAGGCAAGTTGCTGTGTACAATCTCTTGAATCTTATTGGATGGCGTATTCAAATTGTTCATTGGACATCGTGTACATGATCACATATACAGGTTTTGTTTAATGCCATATGAAAGCGATTCATTTTTATAAAATTGTGGCTGTACACTTATTCTAAATTCTGGTATGTACGAGCATCTATACCTGTTATACCTTACTACTTTTGGTAATCGATTCAAGGATAAAAAACATATAGTATGATTTGCACTTCATAGATTTTACGTAGATTTAGATCTACTTATGAATGATCCCGCTGTTGAACAGGTTTGTTTATTTAAAAAAGATGTTGCAGGAAATCTAAAAAGTTCAATGACTTTATATAGAATAAAGGTTAGTTGGCTCATTGAAGATAAACTAAATTTGTCATTTTCAGCAGCATGCTATTTATGTACATATTGTTCTTTGCTTATTGTTTTTACGCAAAGGGATTTCCTTCGCTTATTGTTTTTACGCAAAGGGATTTCCTTCGCTTATTGTTTTTATGCAAAGGGATTTCCTTCGCTTATTAGATCGATAATTTAGGAAATTTATTTCCTAATTTATGCATCATCTCAATTTAGTTTTTAAATTTCCTGCACCGTACCAGATTTAGAATAAGTTTACAGCCACAATTTTATAAAAATGAATCGCTTTCATATGGCATTAAACAAAACCAGTATACGTGATCATGTACACGATGTCCAATGAACCATTTGAATACGCCATTCAATAAGATTCAAAAGATTGTACACAGCAACTTGCCTGTTAACCATACACTTCGTACTTCGTACTACGTTCCTGGTAATAATCAGCAACTATTATTGAAAATTTCCTTTCTTGAATTCTACCACCAACTATAACCCTAACCAAAAGCGGGGTTTCATTTGCATCTTAATTGTTTTAATTGATCATTACCACCATACACTACAGCACTACGTGTAAGTCAAAAATTTTATAAATTCTTCGATTTCTCTTCGAGCATCAATTAACTATTGTAATTAATACGTATACTAAACATTTAATATATTTATATAACTTGAAATTATGTTAGGGAAAGCATGTGAGTCATAAGCATATCACTATGTTGAACGATATACTATATGTCCAAATTTTTATATAGAATGCAAATTTATTGCGCGTATAATTTTTCGTGAAATATAAACAGATATACAACCTTAATAATATTTATCTCTTTAAGAAAATTATGAGGCTATAATTATCGATGCTGCTCATTTCACCGAAAGTTCACTTAGCCGACATCACATAGGGTTAGGATTAGCGTTTTATTAGTTGCAGGTATATATTTTAGTAAATTGCCATTTGGTGTGATGTCGCATAAGTGAGCTGTCGGTGAAATGATTGTTGGTGAAGTAAGGCGGATCCATTACTATCATTTAAGCATAAAAAAAGAGTATTGATTCTGTCATTCCTCATTCAAAGTAGTGGCATCATAATTTTGCTTGTAAAGCTATAATATTAGTCTCTGTTCTAAGGATTGAGCATTAGACATTTCAGAAATTTATATTTATTTATAAAAATTTGGATATCATATTACTATCACGTTATAATATTTTACACAATCTTGTATTAACATTGTGAATAATTGTGTAACATTAGTAACAGAACAATTGCAATCATATTTAAATGCACGTAACATTGAAAGTTTTGATTATACCCAATTTAACAATATTGAATTCATTGGAGAAGGAGGGTTTGCATTCGTGTACTCTGCTATTTTCCAAGAAAAAAAGTATGCATTAAAGCGCTTAAAAGATCTGAGTTTGGATGAGAAAGGTTTCAAACAATTAAGACGTGAGGTAATATGTCATTTCTTATTTGAGATATATTTTACTATTTTAATAAATAAATCTTATGAAATTTAATACATTACAGCTCGAACTCCTTTACATAACTGATCATTCCAATATTGTAAAATTCTATGGAATCTCAGAAGGTATAATACATTCTTTTGAAAATGGCATACTCTTGAGGTTTTACCACAAAAACATGAAAGACAAATTCCCGAAAGGACCTAATACCGACAAAGTTAGCCGGCATTAATTATAATGTTGTCAATTTAGTCGTTGTTATGTTCTTTCGGAAAAATGGTTTTCAGGATTTTGTGGTAGAACCCTCTTGAATAGCAATCTCTAATTTCAAAATTTTTTAAAAGCACCAGAGGGTTACTTTACACTAATACTACAATTCGCCAACGGTGGAGACCTACGAGCATACTTACAAAGTAAGCAAATCAATGGCATTTATAAAATTTCATGGACGGAGCTTATCAAAATTGCAAAGGATATCACACTTGGATTGATGCATTTACATGACAAAGACATCATTCATCGTGATCTGGTAAGTTAATAAAGTAATTTAATTCGTGTGATAAAATTTAAATTAATGCAATATTATATAAAATTCTTTAGCATGCAAAGAATATTTTGATGAATGATGGTAGAGCTTTAATTACAGATTTTGGAATATCAAAACAAATAAAGGATACTACAACTACAAATTCAAGTACGGGAGGTGTAGCGGCATATATTGAACCACAATGCCTTCTCGAAAATAAAAAACCAGATAAAAAATCCGACATTTATAGCTTGGGCGTTTTGTTTTGGGAACTCACAAGTGGAGTTCGACCATTTTATAGTTTAGTTGATTCACAAATTATAATATTAATTTCACAAAAGAAAAGGGAAAAAACTATTTTTAATACACCACTGAATTACGCTATTCTCTACAAGAAATGTTGGTCTTCTGATCCAAATCGGCGTCCAATTCTGGATGACATTTTAAAGAAACTCGAAAAATTATCATCTGAAACAACTATTGAATCTATTACCAGTAAAATAGATCAACAGTCGATTGAATATCCTGATGAAGACGATAATTCAAATAAATATGATGATTGTTGCGCTGAATGTGAAAATATAACTGACAAGTGGGTATAATTATTTTATTCGTTTTTAAATAAACATTTGTGTGACACTTTTCTTATTTAAACGCATCTTTCTTGAATTAAAGCCTGTAAGTATTATGTTCACGTTAGTTTACATTTAATCTTTATATTGTATATAGTGAATCCTTTCTAAGTGCACGCTGTTAGAGTGATACACTTTTAGGAAATGATCAAATAGCTTGCATCAATAGAATGCGCACTTAGAGAGTTGATGTAGTCTATTTTAATCTCTTGAAGTTAAAATGCCATCATTTGGTGCAACTTGGTCATTCTGTTATTTTAACATTGTTAACATTTTTGTTTTTCCTATAGCTTGGTCCCTAATAATATACCGAGATTAAATGAAAGTTCATTTAGTGTTATTAAATCATTGTCTCAAGGTCCCAATGATCTCATATCGGTTTCTATAGAAGGTTTAGAACAGCTATCTAATCAGCATAGGATTATAAAGCCTGTTGAACTAATAAATGGAAATTTGATAATTGAATGTCCTGTACATTCAAGTTTATTAACTAATATTTCTCAAGAAAATTCGAAAGAATTTACACATATGAATTACACTGCCTGCACAAGCAAGCCTGACACTTTTAAGCAAGAAAATTTTACTCTCCGTCAAGCTAAATACGAGTCAATAAGAATGACTGAGCTATTTATTTTAATTTCCTTGGATAATGTAAGAAATATATTATTTTTGAATTATTAATTAATAGCTGTTTTCAACAACAATATTATTTAATTAATAAACTATATATTCAATACATGCCAATAGGAAGACGAAATTTTATTATCAAGCACTCTTCACCAGATAGTGGAAAATATTGCTTATCTTTGCTCTCTCAATGAGTCCTCAGATTGGGTATATATTTGCTTACAATTATATATTAAACCTTTTTTCTATCGTTAATTTCTTAAATTCAATGTCAGGATAAAGATGGATGGAAAAAAATCGTCATATGCATAATTTCAGATCGTAATAAGATCAATAAACGTACCTTATATTATTTGAAGGCTCTTGGTGTCTATCAGGATGACATTTCAATATCAAAAGTAAATAATAAGCCAGTTAGAGCACATATATACGAATATACAACACCAATTTCAATTAAATGCTCTAAGGATTCTGTGGATAAGAAAACAATTGTTCCAGCTCAAATACTTTTTTGCCTTCAAGAAAAGAATAAAGGAAAAGTCGACTCCCATCGATGGTTTTTTAATGCGTTTTGTCCAATCCTTAATCCAAGAATATGCATTCTTATTAAAGTTGGTGTTAAACCAGGTTAGAACCTAATTTTTATTTTTAACGGGTTACTACAATTAGTGGAATAATCAAATTGACTATATACAATGATAGTGTGACTAACAAAAATAAAAATTTTGCCACTTTTCGTATATATATAGAAAAAGTTTATAATAAAATAACGATTTAATATTTTGTACATTAAATATTTGCTAGATGACCAGTCTATCTATAATTTGTGGAGGACCTTTAAAAACGATCAAATTGCAGGGTCTTGTGGTAAACTATATGCCATAAAGAACAGAAGGTGGATCTACTTATTAAACCCGATTGTTGGTGCTCAGATTTTTGAGCAAGAAATATCTAATATTCTGAATAAACCAATGGAATCAATCTTCGGCTATATTTCTTCTTTACCTAAAGATTTCTCTGCTTATCGGTATTCTGCTCTTCAGGATAGCATAAGTAATAATGAAGATACATCCAACAATAGTAATATTCTCATTGCTAATGACTACCTTGCTAAAAATAATGCTATTTGTTTTGAATTGATTTCAAAACGTAATTTTTCTTGGTTATTGCATTATGAAAGCTCATCACAAGCTGAAGTAGATCTACCTGAAAATTTATCTGAAATAATTCAACAACATCTTTGTTATTTAAATAGTTATTTTTATACTAGTTTTTATACTATTTCTCATTTTTATTACATTTGGAGGAGCAATCATTCTATTTTGCGAAAAATAATCTTACAAATTGAAATTATATATCAAGCATTATATTTTCTTTTTTGGTGGTTTTCTTTGGTAATTATAAAACTCTCTGTATTTTATTTGTTCTGTTTACTTAAAATAGTAATCTGTTGTTTTTTTTAGGGCATTTTCTGTTCAACATTTTATGTTTTGTATGAGATGAGTTACTTTTATACTAAATTGTTTGGTTTGAAAGAGATAGATTTTCATTATAACATTTTTATTTGGTTATATCTTACCTTTATTGCAATTTCTGGTATGCAATTTATTCTTGCATTTGTTAACAAACCTCAAATGTAAGTTGTTTTTTTTTAATAATTACAATGCAATTTGATATTATTTAAAATATTTATTTAAATCACTAATCTAAATTATTATTAATAGTATTAAATGGCGAGACATAATTCCATTAGTTTTTTCTATTATTTTTATGATCTATTTATTATATGGTTTTACTCGCTTCACTCTTTATTATTTTACCTCCCATGATGTTCAGACGACAATGCCTTCTGAACTTGTTACAATTAATACCATTATTATATTTAGTTTTATTAGTTTATTCCTAAGTTCTATATATGTTTTGTGGTTTAATACAAGCTTAATAATGTCAGATCCTTGGTATATTCTTATCTGTTTTATTAGCATTATACAATATGTATTATTTGTGCCATTTTACATTGGATTAAATATTTATACTTTTTGTAATAATAATACAAGGTAATTTAAGATTTTAAGCCATTTTATTTTTAACTTATAATTGTAACTAATTTATCTCTAATATAGTTCTAACCAGGAAACAATTAGATCAGTTGAAGTTGAAGCAAATAACATTTCTTATTCAAATATTTTTGGGAAAGATATTACTGAAGTTCCTTTTTCTTGTGAAATTAATATTAATAAGGCCTATTATGAAGCATGGAATGAAATAATCAAAAATAGTAAAAACGAAACAAAATATAAAATTCAAAATTATTTTTTAAAAGCATTTACACCATGGAGTACCATAATATGGATTATAAGTAATGCTTTATATTCAGTACTAATTATTATATTTATTGGCATATTCGGTGCATCTCATAGTTGTAATGCTTTTTATAATTTTGGATATATTAGTTGTAAGCAAGTATATCTTTTAGCTCTTTTATTAACTATTAGTGGATTAGCTATTTTTAGACTTTTTGGTAGTTTTGGTTATTGGTTTTTTAAATTATTATCTAAATGAATTTGGATAATATTAAGATTATATATATTTTTATTCATTTTTTTATATAAATTTTACTAGCGTGACAGGTTGCACATTCATGCCACACATCAACATTTTTAATTATATTAATTAATCAATGTAAAAAAAATCTATTATAAAACTTGCCTACATACTATATGCGAATAAGGCTATATTAATTAAACATTAGAATTATGATTTCTAATACAATTATTATAAAACATTCTCTTACTAAATAAACTGCAAATGTGGTACTCTCAGTAGTTAAGGTTGGCAATTTTAATCTTTAGTTACTGTATAAAACTCTATTAAAGGCTATTTCGATGACTACAGGATATGATTAAGGTCGAGTTAGCTAACGTTGGAATAATTGTGGCTTTTATTATGTATTACTGTAAAAATTCAGATACAAACTTATTCGCTTAACAATTGATAATTTTCTTTTTCATGTGAATTATGGAAAGTAAGGAGCGGGAATATATATAAAGAAACAATATCGCTTGAGGGAAGGGTTTACGAGATTCTTTGTAAATAATTATCTGCTAGAAAATACGAATAAATAAACCATATAATAACTATAATAAGTGGTCTTTAACGATTACGTTACATGAACTGTTTTATAAACCAGTTGTATTACTATTATATTAATTCAACATTTCCACACTCTCTTAAACGCAATTATCTAAACAATTAGCCGATATCAGCCAGGCAAACCCATCTAGTTGATGGTCTAGAGTTAAAAATCGACAATAAAACACCTATATCAGAGAGCGTATATAAAGATAAACTATAGGATAATACATATTGTACGAAAGAATACCTCATTTTATCTGTTTAGAAATTTAAGACACTTTGTTTGTTATCATATATACCAATTAAGAATTCCCAGAATTCTTAGTGTTTTTATTTGAAATTTACATGCTAAATCACCATATGGCGTCGTTAAAATAAATAAACAAATCTTCTGTAACCATCATAAGGGAGAGCTTGGTATTGTCATGCCAAATTTAACTCCGATGGTTGACGTTAAAAGGGTCACATGATTTGGGCAATTAATTAGAAATTCGGATATTCATGATTTATTAGGCATTTATAATAAAAAGAATGTGAATTTATATTATCTTTATTTAGGAGAGGAATTCTGAGAGCGAATATTACCCTCAACTAAGGATCAGAGCGAGCACTTATATACAGGACAATTTTATAGAGCGTGATCATAATGACTACATCGTACTCACAGTAGCTTCCGCATATTCGCGGTAACCACAGCGTACTCGCTACAACCACCGCGTATTCATGGTTGCATCTCCAACAATACATTACAATGCCTAATACTATTAAGGTAAGATTAACATGGCTATGACAGTACAATTATGGAAGGTAAGTGACAATTTAAAGAATTAGACAAATGCGGAAATGAGGAGACACAGGAAAAATTAATCGTTACACTACATGCATATTTATAAATTTATACACCTAAAATAATAATATAGTATAGTCATAAATACAACATTGAAAAATTTTAAATACAGTAAATGTTTTATGTAAGATATCAGGCTAGCTGATCTCAGTAATGAATACCCTTATTATTTATTGTACTTCAAAACTATAATATTGAAAAATCTTGCTCATATATTCTGTCCTGTCATGTCCACTTTTCTGCTATGCACTCAGTTTGATCTAATTGCACCATTCTTAACATTACGGGAGCAATACCATCTTCTACCATAATATAATTCAATTTCCCATCCATTAATAACATGATGTTTTTTAAGTAGTGATTCACTCATTTCGATAGTGTGAATAGAGTGATTACTTTTAATAATACTAGTGAATAAATTATTCGTATTTAAAATATCAAAACATGGAATAGAGGTGAGATTGATATATTGTAGGTTTGTTAAAGCTATTAAAAAATCTTTAATAATGTTTATATTGATAACTTGTGCTTTTGAAATACCAAGATATTGTAATGATAAGCAATTCTCCTTAATTGTTGTTAAAATCAACGGTGTTATCTCAGATGATCCAATATCTAATGTTTGGAAATTCTTTGCGCTGGGTGATTGAAGTATAGTTATCAAGTCATGTTCTTTAATACCGGTATTGGCACTACTTTTACTAAATAAATTAAGTGATTTCAATTGTGAACATTTAGAGATAAAAGATGAAATGGCTATTGATGAGATATTTTTGCATTTAGCTAATAATAAGTGGGATAATTTTGCTCGGGCATTTGTTTCGGCCAAAAAATTTATTGTTAAATCGCTAATGGAACAACCACCCAAATCAAGATGCGTTAGATTTGGTGCGTGAACGAGATAAAATTGATAAGTGCTTTAATGTTCCACCATTTGTAATAATTAGAATCATCCAATAGTAAAGTAAAGGGGTTATTATGTAAATAAAATAATTCTTATACAATAATTAAAAATTTTTATTATAATTAAAAATTTTTCATATGAGAGGAATGATGGTTGAATATTCTAAAAGCACAGGACATTCATGAAGTGAAAGTCTTCGTATATGAGATAATAAAGGTTTACAATTAATATGAAAATTTATCAGTTCATAATTATTATCACAATATTGTTCAACTTTTACGCCACCAATTAAATGACAGAAATCTTCCAAAGCATTACTAAACTGGTTACTAGAGCATCCGCAGAAATCAACAATTTTAATATTTTTACATTCTAAAAGTAAAATATTTAAAACTTCAAGAGTAATTACAGATTCCAAAGATTCTGATACAGAAAAAGCCGTTAATTGAGGAAAAGACCTTAGAATTTGAATCAAAAGCTCTGGGGTAACATCATTTTGAATGTCTGAAGAACTTTTTTTGTAGGCCATAAGTGGAGAAACTAGAAAGTTCCAGATGGCGAACCATTTGATATCACTTAAAACACTTTTAAAAAGTGTAAATGTATAAGGAAAAGTAAATGTAACAGTATGATGCAAAATAGGTGTAACGTGAAGGTTAAAAGTATGGTTGACTAAAGCACAAGCTGTGAGAGTTTTTTTGTCATCTTTTGGCAAGCTAAGAATAATACGAATAATTTCTGGAGAAACATAAGGAACTGTTGTGACTGTCTTTACAGAAACAATTTGAGAGCTAGTGAGAAAATAAACATTTAATTGGGGTAAAGTAATATCGGCCATTTCTTAATAGTTTATTTGTTTAATTAAGTTGAATGAGCACAATTTCAACCCTTTATATAATTACTCGAAATATGCATAATTTTCGAGAAATAAAAAAATAAGTCAATACCAAAATCATAAATAAGCGAAGTGGTTTTTTTTTCTTACAAATTAAGAAACTTTCTATACTCTAAGTCGAGTTATTTTAGCCTATAATTAGACGATTGATAAGAGCGTTACAATACAAATCATCATTATACTATTTTCGCAAAAAGATGACAATAAATCGTAAATAGTAAATAAAATAATGATCGTACTTATTGTCCTATCTGAGAACAGGATTTTTTTTATTTACTGATATGTCGTATCTAAAGTTACCATCTATCTGAAGTTGCAACTTTAGATATATAAAGTTGACCTGACTAAAATTAAGCCCCTGAAATTAGATCTTCATACATATAATTCTGGTTAGGAACAACTTTATATATCTAAAGTTGCAACTTCAGATAGATAGTAACTTTAGATACGACAGATATGTTATAATGCTTTAGTGTTACAGGAAAAATGTTTCATGTGTTGTAGGCATTGTATTTCTGTAACAAAAGGGTCATTGATTTTACTTATAAAGGTACTCAAGAACTAACTCTAATAGGTAAATTGACGGATTTTTTTACGCTGACAGTCCTAAAATCGGCGAGCTTCGCGTAATTAAAGGTTAGGTTAAGTTGGGTCGAAAAAGGCGCGTTAGATTTGGCGAGTTGTTAAGGAATGAATGTAGTTTATAATGTATATAACTTGGGTGCTTTATTAATTATCGGTAAAGCAGGAATTACTAACAACTCAGTGAATGTAGGAGGCGGAGTTGTTATTCCCGAAGGGCCCACAAGGCCCTTATTTATAATTATTTCTTTATCTATATTTATATGCAGAATACGCCTTCTAACTAGAATTACCCTTATTGCTGTAATTATTGGTATTTGCCACATTCCCTCTTTTCCGTATTCCAATAATCCTCCGACTTTTCCGATCCCCGGATTCCTGGAATTCTCCAAATTTGGAATTCTCGGATCAGGTCACATTTCCAGTTTCACGCTTTGCTACTTGACAAATCTACATATCGATATTGTGTAGCACTAATAAGTCATATGCCTAATAAGTAGCCAATAAAATGCTCCACACATGAATTTTAGTTAAGAAATTTTTGTATTTGAGTGCTACTAAAGTAAAATGGAGTTCTTGATTTGTTCTCAAGAAGATACGAATTTACTAGCTGATATTCTTAGTTCCATTCTTTTGAAAATATTAAAATGAATCACACTACATAATAATAATAATGCAGCTATACAAAGGTGACAAATTCGTATCTCGTTAAGTAAAATATTAGCTTTTTGTTTCCTCTCATTTCAGTCGAAAAAAGGTATAGAAAGTCTTTTTTCAAGGTTACTTTGGATTTTGAACCATGAATCCTTAGCGAAATCACTTTAAGATACACTTTGTATCAGGGACAGTTTCGAAATTTTTCATAAATCCTTAATTTATCATTCGAGCTATCTTCGCAGTTGGTTTTATCTTCAATTAATAAGAACGTTAAATTCTCAGCGTCAGGCTTTCAAAAACATTTCGATTGCAAATCAGATAATTTATTTGAAAAAAGTAAATTGTATAATGTAATAAAACAAAAATAATATATAATAATAATGAATATAATCAAAATACAACGTATAATACAAAAAAAGCAGCATGTAATAACTACTTAAATAAATATTACAATCTATTGCAATGATCCTATCTATATCGGTGACAAATTATGTATTTACAATTACTAACTAAAGAATATTATTCTTGATCTTTTTTTTCAAGAAGTTCAATTAATTTATTGATTTTAGCCAGTGGGTCTTTTAAGGATTCACTGATTTTGTCAATTTTATCTAGTGGATCTTTTAGTGCTTGATTTTTTAACTCCTCTTTAGAATCTTTAATTTCACAAATTTCCAGTATTAAAGGATGCAAGCTTTTTTTATCTTCAATACTTTCAACATATTTTTTAAACTCATCGAACGAAGCTTCATAATATCTAAAATTAGAACTGCATATTAGCATATAGTATAGCATTAATGATACATATAAAAACTATAATTACAAATTTTCTGGAAACCAGTTTTTCTTTCTTCTTTGATGGGGTAACATCCAAAAAAGTTCAATTTCAGTTAATATCTAATAAATAACAAAAGTACACGTATAATAATTAATTTATACACAACATTTTTTTAAAAATTATAACAATAAATTTTTACCTCTCCTCTTAATTGTAGAAAAGATTCTTCATTATTTTTGTCATCAATAGCATTTCCAAGTAATGAAATAAATAGATTCATTAAATAAACTGTTGTGAAGAATGAAAATATAACTAATAAAATTGCCAAAGTCCAATTATTATTTAAAACCCATGAAGAAACTGAGCTTGTATCTCCTAAAATAAAAAGATAATTAATATTTTTTGTTAATTTTGTTTAATTAATAATCATATAAAATACCTGTGAGCATAAAATATACAGCTAAAATAGAAGTACTAAATAATGAAAATAAATTTGTATTGTCATCAGGAATTTCAGTAAGGGAAGATTTACTAACAGTACCATTAGGTAAAATAAATTGATATGTTGAAATAAGATTCCAAGGATTATTAACATCATCAGTATAACTTGGTTGATTATAAGAATATTTACTAGTAGGTCTTAATAAAAGATGAAAAGAATGGGCAAAAGCTAAAATCATAATGCCTAAAACAACAAGGAATGAAAAAACTTTTTGTGCTACGCCAATCATAATAGCAAAATATTTTCCAAAATATTCCAAAGCACGGAAAAATAATAAAAATTTAATTTCAAGTAAAAAGGCAGCAATAGTTATAATCCAAACTGGTGGAGTTTTAACATTAACCATATAAATGAAATTATTGTTGAAACTAATATTGTAGCAAGATCTATAATTAAAATTAAATTATAAAATTAATATTATACGCATATAATTCAAATTATCAAATTAAATATATATACCAAACCAATTCCAAGGACTAGTAATATAAAATAATGGCTTATAAATAAATTGACGAACTTCAAATATAAAATGAATAAATCCGAAAAAAATAGTTAATGCTAGAAAAATCACTTGATTATTCCAAGAAATTTCCTCTCTTGGAATTGTTGAAACTATTAAAAAACAGCACATAAAAATTGAATATAACGACCAAATTATAAAGTAGTATATCTTTCCATAGGTATTCCACTTAAAATTGATGAGTGCTTTAATATTCCACCATTTATAATAATTAGAATCATCCAATAGTAAGGTAAATGGATTTTTAGGTAAAAAAATTAATATATTTTCCATTATAATTAAGATAAAATAACTGAGAAGTTTCATTTATAACATCAGATTGATCATTAATAATTATCAGATTAGTTTTAGATAAAAATATTTCTGTAAATCTCAGATTTTTCTAATTCTACTAGTGCAATAGCAATTTGGCTTATTAACAAAGTTAAGTCATGAATGTTACTATTATTAATATTTGATAAGATATATTCATAGCATTTATAAAGTAATTCCTGAATTTGATAATCGCTCCTTTCTTGAATTGATTCATGTAATAGATCTTTTCCATATAATTTTAATGTCCATTCATTAGTGTTTAATGTATAACGACAAGAAAACCAATTCCCTTCAGTCCCTTCAAATAATGTTTCAAAAGTTGGCGGAGGTAAAATTTCAAAGTCAAAATTCAAATTATTATTAAAAGAAGCAAGATTTTTAATAAAGGATTGTCTAGCTATTCCAACTGTTTCAGTTGGTTCTAATTTAGATTTATCCTTCCAACAATAAATTAAATTAAATTCTGCTTTTTCAAAAGTTGAAGTTATTGTCCAAATATGTATACAGAAATTAAAAACTAACAATATATTTCCATTTTTAAGCACTTTATTTTCAAAAATATTAGTATCTAAAGGAAAACTAACTCCAGAAATTTCATTACTTGATTCAAGGCGAGCATTTAAAATTATATAAGGCGTTTCTCACTTAACAATCCAGGTACATAGCTTTCCAGGATATTCTTTAGATTCATCTGAGTAATCCTGAGTTAAAATTTGATTTGATTTATACATTTCCAAAGTAGTTTGTACAAATTGTTTAATTTCTTTTACATTGAAATATGTATTATCTATATAATGTTCATTATATTTTAAATAATTTTTCCAACTTTCGTTTTGAGACAATTTTTGAATCGACAAATAATTATTATTAATTTTTATAATATAATCAGAGATGATATTAATAGGGCCAATTGCTTCATAATCATCACTTGTGGGGGAATAAATATCACATAAGACGTCAGTATCAGGAGACTCATCAAGTGTGAAAGTACTAGAATTCAGTATATAAGAGTGATAGCTGTCTAAATAACAGTTCCATCCAGAGAAAAATAAACGTTCTTCTTCATCTAATCCAATTAAACAGAAATTATGCAATTGCAATTCCCAAGCAAACGTTCCTTAATTTTAAATAAATTAATAATCAATTATTTGTATTTATAGAAAATATACATGAAAATTACTTACTATATGCTACCATTCTGCCAGATTTTGTTGAATAAACAGAAACTGCATTTATCGAATTAATTATTCTACAATATACCACCAATAATGTGCTGTCACTGTTAAATTTCTTATTTAATGTCAAAATATACTCAGAATTAAGTATATATTGCATCTCAAACTTCCGAGTTATTAAGTCCCATTGCGTAATTATAGAGGGTATTTTTGAAACCATCATAAGCTTTCCATTTGGAAAAACAGAGAACTTGTCAAACTTTTCGAGTTCAATACTATATTTGCATGTCCATTGATATTTACCACTAGATTTTGACTTCAAAAATACATGGGCACGATAGAATTGATACGGGTCGATAATTATCAGACTCCCATTTTCAAGAAAGGCAACGCTTACAGCTATTCCTTTTAAAC